AAATCTTTGTTTGTATTAATGGCTAGTGCCAAGCCACATATTAAATTCCAATCTAAAGTGTTGATTTCACCATTGTGGCATAGTTATTACCAGACTTCGGTTTTAAATCCTTGATAAAGGAGGGAGTAGTAATTGTTGCATGTTCGGACACCCAAGGTTCCACACACTGCTAAAGAGTTTAACATCGTTTTTTAAGTAGACCAGAATTATAATGAGCTATGAAATGCAGAGCGACACAGATCCTAGTAATGTTTTGACTCAAGATAATAGTTATTGTACACAAGTTTCTGAAATAGATCATTAGACATTTTAATTAGTAGTGGTACTCGAAGGAAGTGAGTTTTGTACCAAGTTTCAGGAAAAGTGGGAGGCGGAAGTCCCAATGACAAGTGAGAATCATCTTGAAAATTATAGTTGAAATCGTGACATATTTTTGTAGACAAAGGATACTGGCCTATGCTGAAATGTCAAAGTCTCTGCAGAGCACGACACATGGCCAAAAAAGACGGAGACCAACTGACCTTTGACCCTGACCGACAGTGTAACTTGACAAGGCACTGTGGATGACTGACTCTGGGGTGAACCTGACCAAACTTGACATGACGACCAGACAGTGTGAGTGTGAATGTATGCCGGCATGTGATCAGTGTAACTGCATGATTCTAAAACAATAACTAACCAAGCATGTTTTTGGACTAACATATTATTTTGGAGCTCCAAGGGAAACGAGAGGTTTCCTAAAAATTCCACAAAAAGGGGAAACCGCACATGTGATATTTTCCTCTCACATGAGTTGGCGGTTTGCAAATGTAAAACTACAATCTGAAGATTCTGTTTCTTTTAGGCCTGAAGGACGGAGAGGAACACTTCTTTTCACTGAAGTGTTCACTGTGGAAATAATGATAATAATGTTCGTTATGTTCCTAACCAATTACCTGACAGTTTTTGTTCCCCTCCCATTACAGGCTTTTGTTACACATGATTTCATGTGTAAAAGGGGGGAGTGAGTATAATGTATAAATGTCAACATGGCTGTAAAATTCACAATTTACATTTTTCTTTTAAGGATTGAGCATTGAATGTAATTAACCTGCTCCATATCTGGGGATAAGATACTGTTTGATGAATGTTGAGATGTTTCTAAATATTGATTTGAATTATAACAGGTAACAAAGAAGCAGTGGCCAAGGGGCTACTGTGAAACCGAAGAAGTTGACCTGTGATAATGAAACAATTTTGTAATATTTTAACAGACATTAGAGTAACTGAGGTTTGAAATGTAGAAAGAACATATTACAGTTAAGTTAAGCTAAAACATAGTAATGTAATGAGACAGAATTTAATTTAGACAACATCATGTAACTAGCCTGGTAAAGAAGTAAAAGCCATATACTTTATTATTTAGGTCATTATAGGGATATACATTTCATCTAAATTTATAATAGAAAGACATTTGATGACAGTTTGTTGGAATTCTGTATTCATTTTTTCAGCGTGATAATATCTAAGCACTGACAGGTAAAAGCAGTATCACCAGGAAATCATTCACTTTGTTAGCATCGTGATTTTGGTTGTTTTTGAATCCATAACATTAGTGTGTTTCTTTACCAGAAACATTAGCAGTTCATATTATATTTGGATTTTAAATAGGATTTCATTTAAAAATAAACACAGATGCTTGTCAGAAATTCAGAGCTATTGAAATATGTTATTTAGTTTACCTAAAGATGTTGGGGTTCTTATTAAGTTGGCACAATCCAAGTATTAAGATTTTGAAGCTGCACTGGCAGATAGGAGGTCTACAATTCATTTGGAAAACCTGTTCACAGACGGCTGTTGTTTCAAGACACCCCACCAACAGGCTCCAAGTGGGGCAAAACAGCTGAGCGTAGGCTTGAGGGAGTTGTATCAGATTTCTCCACACAGGTCACTGGCGCCAAAAGGGGGACCCGAGAAGCACGAGGACAAAGTGGCTCAACCCCAGGCTCTCCGACCCCGACCGAGTGACCCAGCGGACCTCTTATGCCGTCTGCCTGGGAGAAAAGGGGGACAGCTCGTACCACGGGAGCCAGTGTGCGGCGGGGAAACCACCTGCTAGGACCAGGGGACGACATCAGGACGGACGTGGCCCTGGCAGACGTGGACTACTCGGAAGCAGCAGACTGGAGGAGCAGGACCCTGGAGACATCCTTACAGCAGACGACCCGGGAGGCATCATCAGCGGGCCGGAGAAGGAGGACCCTGGAGACATCTCTACAGCATCGACCCGGAAGCCGCCATCAGCGGGCCGGAGGACGAGGAGGAGGAAGACATCTCTCTAGCAGGCAGCCCAGAAGCTGCCGTCAGCGGATTGGGAGACAAAGACACGGCAAGCCAGGACGGCACAGGGAACTTGTCGAGGCAGCAGAGGAGTCTACTTCGCTCTGATCAGTTCTACCCGTGAAGGGCAAGCTGCATCTCCCCCTCCCTATTAGCTGTCCTTGTGGGCTATTCCTCCGGGGGGGGGGGGCTGATGATTCTAGCACTCAGCTACCCCCTCATGGTTCCTTCACTGCCATGGAAAGTGGTGTTCGGTCTCCATGAAGGTTTCAAGTACTCTGAATACCAGCTTCGGATGGATTTACGGACACAGTAGAAAAGAATGACCGTGGGTATATTTCAAAATGCCTTGTCTAAGTTTATCTCTGGAGAAGGAGATAAAAAGGGGGATTTGTAGAGTTATATTTGTATTTATTCATGTTAGCAAACTATGGATAAGCTTAAAATGAGAATAATTTGGGTAAAACTGTGAGCTGCATTTGGGGCCTGTTGACATGTGTTTTTGAGGACAAAGGAAGATGGGGGAAGGTGAGAGCATGTCCTGATTTGCATTCAACTTAGAACGAGCTACAGTGGTTGTGATGTTAAGAGAGGTCCCTTGGGTTTCTCTGGTGCTTATCAATAGTAGCAGTTAAGTGAATACTGTTCAAACAATACCTGTGTTTGTGTTTTATATTGATTTCTCTGTTTTATCCTTTCATAAATGTAAGGACTACAAATGGCTATAAACATTCTGGGCTGGTTGGAGTAAACAGGGTTTTATGGCTCTGTGGGGGAGGTGTAGGTATGCAGGCCTTGAGACCTTTTGTTGGAAAGTGAGCCTGTTTGGTTTCCTGCTGCGTTTCCTGCTGCGTTGCGTCTCCCAATAAGATGACCAGCTGACCTAACACCAAACCCCTCCTTCTTACTCTGGTATATATCCGGTGGATCCCTGGCGTTCGGCCTCTTCTTCACATGCTGCCCTCGGGTGAAAGTAGCTCTGCAGTATGCGGACTAGAGCAGGAGTAAGCCGGCATTACTCCTTAAGCATTGCAATATAACTGTAATATATCATGTTGTATTGTAATGATTGTATTGCATTGTCATATTGCCATTAAAGTAGATTATTGTTAACGGTTACTTTGTAGATATGGATTCCTTCCTGTATTATAACCAGCTTCATAGGAACGCGCGGAGATTTGAAAAGCGGACCAGTTATCCCTCCAAATCTCCAACAACACACACACACACACAGACACACACACACACACACACACACACACACACACCTTTTGACCTGGGAATCTATTTTCCCTCCAGCATCTGTCTCACCTCTCCTTACATAACCCCTGCAGAGCCAGAAAAAAACAACACAGGTACAGAAATATAACACAGTGTTAGACTTTTGGGGGTGTAGAAGGGGGTGAGAGTGAAAACAAGAATATGGCAGTTACACGTTACAATAATTTAAAAGAGTATTTTAAAAGAGAAAATAATCCACAATGGTTTACAGTCCAAATGTTGATTTTATTTTGTATTTCATTGCAATAATCTTCAAACTTCAAGTACAGTACTACATCTAATGACACTTGGTTTTCCTAAAGTAAAGTTTTGTAAGCAGGACCCTAGAGTAGTATTTTACACATAGTTTATAGTATGCGTAGGTTTGTAGTATTTCTTTTGTTGTTTGATTTAATGTTGTGTTTTTCATGGAAACACTGAGTGTTATATGCATTTCAGAAAAATAAAACATAGATATATATATATATATATATATTAGGGCTGTCAGTCAATTAAAATAGTTAATCGCAAATTAATCGCACATTTTTGATCTGTTCTAAATGTACCTTAGAGGAATATTTTTCAAGTTTGTAATACTCTTATCAACATATGAGTGGACAAATATGCTTTATGCAAATGTATATTATCATTTGAACAATGACAAATATTCTCATGAATATTAAACACAACAACTTCTGAACATTACAAATATTCGCCTCAATTCAACCTGGAACCTAATACAATAAAAATGGTGTGTGTGTGAGAGATGGATCGTTCGAGTGTATGCTCGAACGGGAGCTGCCTGGACGCTGCAATCATGTTGCACTATCCGTGCTGAGTGTGCTGATTTCTCGTACAATGTCCCTCTGTCTGGCTGCCTGCATAAAGTCAAGTGCTCGGCGCAGTTGTCGGCGAAATGTAGCTCCTCTGTTTTCATTTAAACAGCTCCTTATATCTGTTAGTGCAGCTAGCTAGCACCAGATGCTAACAACAACAATGCACGTAAGGTCTCTCTCTCGCTCGCTCGAGCCACACATACACACACCCTCCCGGTCCTCCCAATAGCCAGTCGGTGAGCGTGGAAGTGTGGTCTGCCACAAGCGGGCGGCAGGGGCGGGGCTGTCAACATCAGCTTGTAGATGGTATTTTAAACTCGATGACTCTGAAACTACGGGGCGGCCGAGGGAAAAAAATACACATGCGTTAATCGCGTTAAAATAATTAGTGACGTTAATTTTTTTTTTGCGTTAACGCGTTATTAACGCGTTAACTTGACAGCCCTAATATATATATATATACACACATGTTTGTTATTTAAAGAGGTGAGATTAATCTGAAATATTCAAAAAGTGTCAGTGGACAGCTTACATCCTCTGTTTTAAAAGTCAAAATACAGTAATGAAGTATAATTTAGGCTGAAGCATCCAAAAAAAAGTTAGAATTGTATTTGACAGTGTCAATCAAACAATTAGCAGTAATAAAAAAGTATGTAGTGTTGACCAGGATTCTGTATTTTCCCTTGACTCAGGGAAACCTCTCCAGCAGGCGCAGGTGGAAAGAGTGAAGTCGTGCCAAGATCTCATCCAGGGTGTCGGAAGGAGCCAAAACACACAACCTGAGGGGAAAGAAAACAATGCATTACCATGTATGAACACATATGAGTCTAAAGGACAAATCATTGGTGACTTGATCAGAATTATACATTTAAAATGAAGAAAAACTTGCAGCGAGATAATTATGCCCAACAAAGAGTCCCTATTACCCTGCCACGGCACACTGTTAGTCGAATGATCTGAACTGTCCAACACTTTCCAGGATGTTCCCACTTTACAAAATGTCTTCATAGTTCATATTCACAAAGCTTCGGGCTTCAAAGAGTTCTCCTAGTGTCAAATTCCAAGCAAAAAACCTTGGAAAAGTAAATGTTTTATAATGATTTCTGCTTACAATTAAGATGAAATTAATATATAAGTTCTCCACAAAGCATCTAAGAGAGCTATTCAATACAAATACAAAATGTTAGAAGAGGATTTTTAATAAATAAATAGTGATAGATTTACATGCTAACCAAATTACATGTACATTTGTTCTGTGGCTAAGTTAGTTAGTAGCTCTCTAAATGGATAAAGCACTCTTGGTAAAATGAACATATTTTCACAATTTTTTTCATAAATGTCACAAAAAGTCCCTGGGTTTCATAATGCCCTCTCTTTCCAAAAGTCTTTAATAATGTATCTTAGTACAATGTTCTCTCTATAAAAAAACTACAACAACTCTGTGTACTCTGTTTTTTTGTATTCCCTTAGGGGCCTTTTTATGCTTTTTGGGGTTTCCTTTCCTCTAGTGTGTAATGTAGGTTTCTTCTCATGTAAATGGCCTACAAAGGCTAAAATCCCAAATTTCTCTCCAGAGGGAGTTTCTCTCTCACACACTCCCTCATTCCTGAAACGCATCAATTTGACTCCAATTTGTTTCATTCTGGAAAATAATGACATCACTGTGTTACACTCACTCTTCTATTGGCTAACGCTCCAACACATTGTACGTGAGAGGTTAAGGGGCGGCGGTAGACCAATCAAATATAGACGGCCAGCTAACCAATCAAAGCAGATGGGCTCTGGTTTCAGACAGAGGGTGAAAAGAGGTGCTGCAGCATTAAAGAATGGAGACATGTCACACCTTCAAAACGCAAACTAGCATAACAGGACCCCTTTAAATAACAGATGCCTACATGAAGGTATCAGGCATTTTTTTTTTACCTGATGTGGAAGTTTGGATCTACTTGTCCGTTCTCACAGCCGGCTCCCAAACGCACACCTTCCTCCTCCAGTAACCTCTGGCAGTAAAGCACATCTGCCTCCACTCCTAACATCTGGAATGAATCACCTTGACCCATTGTAATTAAAGCTTTTCAAGGCATAATATGAGATATGATGCACAACATGAATCAACTTAATAATATTTCTTATAATCAGTGCTTTTTTTTAAAAATATTCAGAGAATAGTATATTCTTGTATTAATAATAAACAGCCATTTGTAAAAAAGTTTTGGGCTTGAGGTCCAGTGGCGATGATCCCTCACCTTGGCCTCCTCTACCATCTGAGGTGGTAAATGCAGACGGGGAAAAAGAAAAACTCCCCCCTTCGCTGGTTGGCATTTGATCCCTGATAGATCATTCAGGAACTCACAAGCACGCTGAGCATTCTGGGACAAGGTTGTCATAGAGTGAAGAATCTCCTGCAATTATTGAAATGATTTTAAGTGAAGATGATTGTGAAAGGAATCATTCATAGAAAAGAGCAACATAGAGGCCCAATTCCAAACCGCCCCCAACGCACTCCCACTCTGTGAGTGAACTCGTCACACCCACAGCTGAATGAGGCTTCCTTCTTTAAGGTGGAGGGTGTAAATACAGCTTTGGGAAAAACTTTCCTTTCTCAAAGAAAAACTTTTCTTAACCATGGTGAGCATCTATTATTATAAAAACTCAATCAATCGTGGCATTCCATTTTTTTGTAAACCTCGTTTAATTTTTAGATCAGATATTTATGAGCTGCTTCGTTTTTGCAACAGTGACTATAAATATACTATCAGATGCACACGTCTGCCGTTTTTTCAAGATAAGACACGGGTTTATGATCCAAGCAAAAATATAAAATAAGATTATGATGTAACCTTGAAGTTTTAGCATCTGTATGACAATATGACATTTCTATATCTGTGCATTTTACTAATGCATTTTAGCACAGAACTATGTGTACACAGCGTGTTACATGACGGACGCAAACAGCGTTGCACATGGTCAGGTAGGCAGGTGGTTGGTCGTAAGAGATGCTGACTAACTGTTGGTTGGCCACTCCCACTCCCTACTTGTTGGTTTGGAACAGCACTCAGTGTAGCTGACTCTCCACGCAACCATCAAACGGAGTGGAAGTGAGTAGAGGGAGGGTGTAGGGGTTGGTTTGGTATTGGGCCAAAACTACCCCCATACTGCAGTTTCTCGCAGCTCTACAGCAAAGTGTATTTTTGCGTCTTTCAGCTCCTTGTTTTGTATTTTCAGCTCAATTGTGACCATATTGTTTTTGCCTTCATCCGCCCTGTTTTTAGATAAGTTACACTTTAAACTACCTAAAATGACCTGACTAAAACAGTTTTTGGAAATATCCTGCTGAATGAGCAGTGTTCCTCCTTGGCTAACAATATAGTTATTAATGTGGTGCATTTATATAACTATATAAGAATATTTGAGAAAACATGAGTTTGTTTTTCCAATACCTGTGAATATGTTTTATAGGAAGGATCTTCGGGGGTGGGTGGATTGACCATGACCTCCAGAGCGAGCTGTGGTAAAACTGGAGGGCTGGAAGGGGCCTGCGCATCTCTTAAATATTTCATCACGGCTGGGTCCAGATTAACTGCCTCCATATACGCTCCCCTTAGACCACACCTACGTAAACACAGTGTGTTGGGAAACATTTGTATCACACATGAAGAAATATATATTTCTTTTACAGGCATGGAGAATTTCACCCTTGGCGTGCCTCATGTGAGGAGGCTCTGGGTGCCTTGATGTCACAATAAGATGAGAACCTTATCTGGATGTCTTGAATCTAAATGTAGAGTTGGTATGATTATTACTTGATGTGTAAGGAGGGAAGTGTGGCCCTCTGTTTCATTGCATAAAGGATTTGCTCTTAAGCAAAGCAAAGATACTTTTGTGTAGACGAACAGATGGACTAAGGGGGACATTAGGGTTAGGGTTAGGGTTTGGGTTACCATGCAGATATAGAAATCTGAAAAATGCAAGAATAAACCGGAAAATGAGAATAACATGTCCTCTTTAAAGACACTCACTCCCCCATGAAAGCGCTGGATAATGAGTGGAAGGAGACCAACTCCACTTTCTTTGAGTACTCTTTGCCCATCTCAAACAGGACTCTCTTATAGGAAAGAGACTCTTTCCCTTGTCCATACACACTGTCCTGGTACACCTAGAAGGTTTTAGGAAGACAAGAAAAAAGGTAGCTTGTTTGAAATTGGGAACAACTTTTATGAATCAGTGTCCCTGTTAAGCTTGTAATCACCTCATCAGCCAACAGGACGAGGCCCTCGGTTGCAGCAAAACGAATAACTTCCTCTATTGATTTCCTGTCTTGCACATGACCTAGAAGTACATTTAATAGTGAGCAACAATGATTGTAGTTCGGAGATCAGTCAATGTATCTGCTCGCATTTACCTGTGGGGTTTCCTGGATTGCTGATGTAAATTGCTCTGGGAGAACAGTGTCCCCTAGTGGTTCTCAGAGCTCGGTGCAGCTCGTCCAGTTCTACAGCCCAGCCTTGGTCCTCCAACAGCTGGTAAGGCACCAAAGTCAATCCAGCCATGTTCAGCAGTGTGGGCAGGGTGTGTGGGCAGGGCATCGGGGTCAACACACCTGTGCAAGTCTCCCCTTCCCCACTGGCCATCAGGTGCAGAACCATCTGAACACATCCATTAAGAATACAATAAAGATAATGCAACAGTACTACACAGTATAAAACGTTTTGGCATGATTCTTTAATGTGTTTATTCAAACCATAGGCAAAGGGAAAAGGAACGCAAAGCTTACTGAGGGAAGCTCAGATAGTGATAGTGAAGAGGAGGAAAGTGTTGACCAGATGAGCACAGAGTTGAGGAAAGAAGTAGAGGGCCCAACAACAACAACAACAAAGTAGTCAGCACGAGGCAAAGGGAAAAGGGAAAAGGAAAGAATACAGGTGGAGAAATGTACAATATGATCCTCCAGCTGTTGAATTTGATGAATGTGTTGAGGAAGCCTCAGAAGACAGGTGTGACTGGACACCATACATGTCACGGTGTGTGAAGCAGGTAGGACCCAAATGCAGATTAAAGTGAAACTTCCTTTATTTCAAGGCTAGGTGAACAACAAAGACAAAACAGAACACTCACCGACGAACTAGTCATGACAAAAGACGAACCGACAAAGACAGACAGAAAAACCAGAACTTAAATACACACAAGACTAATCACAGAAACAAGACACAGGTGAGGAGGGAGGAGAAAACACAGGGACACCAGGTGAACACAATCGGGTAAATTAGACACACCAGGGAAACTAACGACCGGGAACCACAGACAGATTTAAACAAGACACAACGCAGACAGAAACAGGCAAGACAGGAAGTGAAGACCTTTCAACATAAAACATGAAACAAGACAAGACAAAACACCATAAAGACAGATCGTGACAATACATGTATTTCAAACAGTTTGTTACAGATGAAATGCTACAGGAAATAGTAAAACAAACAAACTTGTATAGTGTACAGAAGCAGGATAAGTCAGTCAACACAACTGCCAAAGAAATTGAGCAGGTTCTGGGTATGTACATGCACATGGGGTTAATACAGATGCCCAATGTACGAGCCTATTGGGAGATGGAAACAAAGTACCATGCAGTTTGTGATGTGATGTCTCGAGATCGATTTCTGAAATTTCTGACACTGATTCACTTCCAGGACAACTTTAATGTGTCTGATGATGCGAAGAAAGACAAACTCTGGAAACTCAGGCCATGGTTAAAAAAACTACGTGAACAATTCCTATGCATACCTCCTGAAGAATGTCATGCAGTTGATGAAATTATGGTGCCGTTCAAGGGAAAGTCTCATCTTTGTGTTTATATGCCAGCAAAGCCTCACAAATGGGGGTTCAAGATGTGGTAAAAACGTGGTATAAAACGTTTTGGCATGATTATTTAATGTGTTTATTCTTAATGCGGTAATTGCTGTTGGAAAAGACTTGTGTACGACGTGTACCCGAGCAGGTGTGTTCAGACAAGCCAAGACAAGACAACATACATTTCTAAATAGCTGAGTGTTAGAATCTCACACAGTGTTCTGTGGCCGTGCATGAGCACAATGTGTTTTTTGTTCACTGGTATTTCATTTATGAGGCTTGGTTCAGTCTTTTTCTCACGAAGTTTAGAGGATTGTATTGGTCTACTGTGAGGTAGATTAGGAGGCTTCCCCAGCGTTTGTTCAACTGGAAGGTGGCCAATATAAACACTGGGGTTGTCATATGCTTTAACTGTAAAGCCAACTGAGACAAATGTATCCTTTGTGATATTGGGCTACATCGATACAATTTGATTGATTGATTGATTGATTGATTGATTGAGCTCGGATGGCCTATCCCTTTTTTAGTTTTCTTTCAATTTTGAGTACAGTTGCTTAGGTTAAAGGCCCTGACACACCTACCCGATTTTGGGAGTCAGAGGCCGTCAGAGGCAGTCGGGCATTCACGGCGCCCTACTCAGGTTGGTGTGTCCCGCACCGCCGTTGCTTTACGGCACATTTTCACACCTCCCGCATCCGATTCAACATGTTGAATCAACATGTTGAATCAACATGTTGAATCGGACGTAGCCGACGTAGCGATGTAGCAGACGTAAAAGTCGGGACGTAAAAGTCGGGACGCCTTCGGTACGCGTTCTTTGGTCTCAGGTTGGTGTGTAGCGGCCTTAAAAGCTAAAGCACTTTGTTTTCTACTAATGAACTGTCTTTTGCGTCCTTTACACATTTTTGGTTTCCAGTGTCTCTAGTGTCACCTTTTTTGTTTAGAGAGGTCGTAACACATATGGATTGCCATGAAATAAAGTTCAAACATTCATGTAACCCACAGACTCAATTCCTTTGACTACTCCACTACGATTAGTTTTGTAGGTGAAAAGTCTCAACAATGTCCTATTGAATTGTAATATATTTGGTGACACTCTTTACAAAGAGTGCCGACAGCCGGTCAGAATAGTCCTTGCACCAATGGTTTAGTTTATAACTAAATTCCTGCAAAACAAACGATATTCCCATCAACCTTCTGGATTTGTGTTTAGTGCTTATTAGCCAATGTTAGCATTTGTACACACATAACTAAGAATATGAACATAGTAAACATCAACATGTCAGCATTGCCATTGTTAGGATGCTGACTTTCAAAGCTAATTAATGGACGTTTATTTGTAATTCAGAATTAAGATGTCTGTTTCATCTCCAAAAAATGCCACTACTAATCATACTCCAAAGATACTTTATCATCCTACCAACAATGTCTTCGTAGAACCAGAGGAGATGACGATGTCTTCTGGGTTTGAGCTCACTCCACCGTCTCGCCTCATGATGAACTCTGTAACACTTTTACAGACATATGGTATGCCATAGGCTGTTGCACAGTATGAGCCTGCAATCGAAACATTTTATAGATCAGCCATTAGAGGAGAGTTGCCAGTTAAAGGAATTCTAAAATATGTGTTGTTGCCTGGACGAATGAATGAGTAGTATTTCCTTCTTACCCACGCTCCTTCCACTGCAGACCCCCAGAAGCGTATTTGCCCTCTGCCTGGCATCCAGGGGAAGGCTTTTTTCATCCAGGAGCTTGGGGTAGAGACACGCTGCCAAGACCTGAGAACACAAACAGGTGGAGACAGGCTCCGTTAGTAGCTGTCAGACTGGTCACAGATAGAGAGGTACCACACACACACACACACACACACACACACACACACACACACACACACACACACACACACACACACACACACACACACACACACCACACACACACACACACACACAACACACACACACACACACACACACACACACACACACACACACACACACACACACACACACACACACAACACCACACACACACACACACCACACACACACACACACACACACACACACACACACACACACACACACACACACACAACACACACACACACACCACACACACACACACACACACACACACACACACACACACACACACACACACACACACACACACACACACACACACACATCACATTTTAAACAAACCTGCCGAACAAACGAGACAGGCTTCATCCCTGCCCTGTGGGGATCTCCTGTGCTGACATCCATCACCTGCTGGAAGGGTTTCTCGGCTCCCTGAGAAAAGAAATGTGTGATATAACTGCAAGGAGGTTGTAAAAAAATATTTTATTTCACCTTACACCTGCACTATAACAGTAATGCTCTTGCAATAGAGTAGCCAAGTTTATCTTTAATCTTCTACATGTCATCCACTGGAGGGAATTTGTACCCAGGACATGTTAGGACATGCCTAAGTGTTTTAGTATTATAATAATATAAATTAAATGAGTAAAGCATGAAGTCATTGAGTGCATACAGTTTTTTTAATTTTTAAACATTTTGTATTGTAATTAATAACTCAAATGTATGCATGTGATGAAGAGTGATGGGAAATAATAAGTATTTGTAAAATACTGAAATAAAAGTCCCTAAAGAAGAAAACATTAGCCTCACACAAAAGCAGGATTTACCGGTGTAGCTGTTTAAAGCAAGCTAAATAGATCATATTGCACTGCTGTTACTTACTTTTAGAGAACCATTTAAAAATATGATGCACTGTTACAAACTAAATGACCCAACTATAGGCCCATACAAAAATGACTTAACCACCAGCATCTATTTATAACAGTAACAATAATATAGACATGTTAATGCATCAGATAGGACAATTTAATAATACAATGTAATAATATAACACTGGAAGCAGGAACATGCAAAGAGAAAACACAAGGGGGACGAACACCTGCCCTTTTCCCTTCCTTGTATGTGTCCTGTTTTGAATTTACATTTTTTACAAATCAATACATTTCATTTTTGCCCTAACCCCAGTCACGAAGGGTGAACCACACTGAAGTGCCTTAGCCAATCGTCACACAGAGTTGTAAAAAGCCTTGTCTGCATCCTGAAGAGTCTGCTATCTTTTGATACTGGCCCAGTTTAAACTCTACTTGTGTATTATTTTATTATCACAGTTCCTCTCCTAACAGTATAGTGTGGAGCCATATGCTGTGCACAGTCTTGAGTGAATAAAAATATTCTGTCAGGAGAATGGTGCCCATGCTCGGTTACCCGCCCTCCCTCTGGGCTATTGGTCACAGGGGCGGCCCTGAAGCCTTGGTGAAAGAACTAAACACAATACACATGCACTCTGCAGTCCTGACTGAGGCACTGATGATATGGTTTAAATATGTAGCCGCTTAAAATATGCTAACTAGCTTTGTTTAGTGATGATACCTCTGCTAGCAATGTGTGAGTCAGCTGTAAGGGAGGAAAGACAAGAGAAAGGAGGGAACAAAAAAGAAACACACACGTTTTTAACAAAGGACTTTGAGACAAGGTAAACAGATATACTTCTAAGATTTAGTTTGAGCATTTGTTCAGTCTTTTTTGGAGGGGTGAAGACTGTTTTAAACTTAATAATAAGAAACTAGAAAAATACATGATGTAATTTACTAATATATAGGAAGGTAAGGAATTAAGAAATGTTGACTGTAAAAAGTCAAAAAGTAGTGATTCCAGGCATAAATATATTTATTTTAACGGCTTGACCTTTTAAGAATTCTTGCCCCTGCACCTCTAACATCCTCTGCAGCGCAGGTTTCATGCTTCATAAAGATTGGTAGTAAAGATAAAGAACTTTACGGATCAATACTCCATAAACCAAATTGATATCAATATCTTCAAAACATTGCAGTATGACAAAAAGGAGACTAGTAATGTGTGGTTTTGGTGGTTCGTTTTTGCATATTTTTGCAGAATGTCTTTCTGGTGTTGCACTTTGTAGACGGTCCCTTCCACCCGTCTCTCCTCGGGCTGCAGAGAGACAAATGTCGAGCTCGGAAGACGCCGCGTATTGGCTTGTCTGACAATTGGTACGTCCACACAGCAGCGTTAAAAAAATCTTGGAGGTGGGTGTATCTGAAGCTTGGGGATTTTTTGCGAGCAACGCGACCAACAACCAATCACATGAATCTCCCGCCCCTGACATAGAAAGCAATGGCAATGTTAAAACGAAGTAAACTGGATATAAACTCCCCAAACAGGCGAAAACCTACCAGTTTCACCAACTGTCTCTGCTACCTCCCTCCATGCCTGGTTCCTCCGGTTTGTATCCCGGTAAGTTAATAAGGACTGGTCATAAAGAACCGGGTGATTTGCTACAGCAATAACTAATTTCTCCTCCATTTTGTTAGGAATATAGAAAATGAACTGTGGTATGTCACTCACTCCCAGTTTACACGTGGTTTGATTGGCTAGCGCTTGTACTGTCAGATTTGCATAAACGGGATTTGATTGGCTGATGCTTCCACCTCAGCTTCAAAAGTTGAACATTGCTCAACTTTTGAAGCCTGAGATGCCTGGAAATCTCCGCTTTGCTTCCCACAATGCAGTTCGGCGAAAAGTGAGGCAAAGTGACGTCACCCCATTCAAAGTGAATGGGCAGAAGCGTTGGAAGATTTGTTTAACGCTGCTGTGTGGACGGGCCGGGTGACGTCGTAGCTTGTTGTCAACCTTGTCAAAGACACGATTTTTGAGTAATGTATCCGTCTAAAAATTGATGTTGCTGTTAAAACACAAGTTTTATTTTCACTAGTATTGGAGCCTTTTATCTTATCGTTAACTTAGAAAAAATATCTGAATACGTCTTCATATGATTTCCCCAGTAATTTCTCGAAGGTTCAAATAAAAAAGGTTTCGAATGTGCGGTTACATTGTTCTAGAGCTGTCTTTCGGCTTGTTATGACATTAGGGTCATGCAGAGGGAGATCGCTACCCCTTTAAGAGAGGGGTGTGGCGCGTGCATGTGTGGGTGGGTATGGTAGAGCGAGACTGAGCGAGTGGGATATATGTTTTCTAGAAGTAAAACGAGGCAGCAGAAAAAGGATAGATCTGTGATCTTGTGAATCTATCTTGTGAAACGGAAGAGCTAAATAAATGCAACGACCTCCCAAGAAGAGCTCGCCTCTCTCCTGTCATTCCGATAAAGTGGGTTATTAAACCCGAAGCGTGTTGCTTCTGCCCTGGGAGACGACAGAGAGTCCATCCCCCCCGTTTCCTCGACTACGGTCTTGGAGCCGACAGGAAAGTTCAACATTGGCGACCACGAAGGGACTGTCATTGGTCCCACGGTCCCAAAGTACCTGCAACAGCTCTACGCCCAGAGCTCTACTGAGCTGAAAGCTGAAGAGCAGCCCCAGCTTGCAAAGTTACTGCACACATATGGCAGTGTGTTTTCTACTGGCCCTGATGACCTAGCCTGGTGCAGCATGACATCCTAACCAGGCCAGCTGCCCCAGTCAAGCAAACACCACGCCGTATGGCCTCAGAGAAGCAAGAAAGTGCCAACCAGCAGATACAACAGAGCCTGGAAGTAGGACTGGCCCGCCGCAGTAACAGCAGCTGGGCGTCACCTATAGTTATGGTGTGCAAAAAGGACGGCACCTACCGCCTTTCCATAGACTATAGAGCCCTAAATGACAGCACTATTAAAGATGCGTATCCACTACCCCGCATCCAAGATACACTAGACACCCTCTCCAATGCCAAATGGTTCAGCACGCTGGACCTCGCCTCTGGCTATTGCCAGGTCGAGCTGACCCCTAGAGCACGCAAAGCATCTGCCTTCTGCACAAGAAATGGACTGTTTGAGTGGAATGTCATACCCTTCGGCTTGTGCAACGCCCCCGCAACCTTTCAGTGCCTGATGGACCACGTGTTGACCGGCATGCAGTGGGAGACCTGCCTCGTCTCCCTGGAGGACATCATCGTGCGGGGCAGAGATGTGCCAGAGATGCTGCAACGACTGAGCCAGGTTTTCAACCGACTCCAACAGGCTAACCTGAAACTCAAGCCTGCAAAATGCTGTCTCTTTCACCGCCAGGTGGCCTACCTGGGCCACATTGTCTCTGAGGATGGTGTGGCTACTGACCCCAGCAAAGTTCAGAAGGTGCAGGAGTGGCCGGCGCCTACATCAGTCCAAGAAGTCCACCAGTTCATCGGCCTTGCATCATACTACAGGCGGTTCGTTAAAGACTTTGCCTCTCCACGCTTTGACAAAGAAGTATGCCCGTTTTCACTGGAGTGAAGAATGCCAGGAATCATTCAACGAGCTCAAGCGTCTGCTAACCACAGCACCAGTTTTGGGTTATCCACTCGACCAAGGCAACATGATACTGGACACAGATGCCAGCGATGTGGGCATTGGCGCTGTCCTCTCTCAGGTTCAGCAGGGCAGAGACCATGTGCTGGCCTATGGGAGTCACAAACTATCCAAAACTGAACAGAATTACTGCACTACACGACGTGAACTGCTGGCTGTGGTGGAGTTTACATCACACTTCAGGCAGTACCTCCTGGGCCGGCCCTTCACAGTGTGCACTGACCACAGCAGCCTTCGCTGGCTAACACGGATGAAAGAGCCTGAGGGACAGCTTGCCAGGTGGTTGGAGAGACATGGGTGAATACAACTTTGAGATTGTTCATCGGCCTGGCTGGCTGCACAGCAATGCAGACAGCCTCTCAAGGAGACCCTGCCGCGAGTCTTGTCCATTTAAGCTGCCATGCCCCTCCCCTCAGCCGGTGAGCTTTAGTGATCAGGCGGTGCAGTGCCAGTTGGACTCTGACATCAACCAGGCGATGGTGAGTCCAGTGGGGGTAGAGAGACCCTCAGCTACCACAGCAGTGAGTCCAGTGGGGGCAGAGAGACCCTCAGCTTCCGCAGCAGTGAGTCCAGTGGGGATAGAGATACCCTCAGCTTCCACAGCAGTGAATCCAGTGGGGGTAGGAGAAGCTTCACCTGCTGAGATTGACAATGTAAATTCTGGAATAATCTACAGGACTACGACCAACAATACTACTGGGCTGTTCTGCGGCTGGAGCCCAGAGGAGCTGCGGCAGGCTCAGGAGGCTGATCCAGACAAGTGGTGCTGCCTCGAATCTTCCGTCCTGATGTCATGAAACAAATGCATGATGGCCAAATAGGTGGACATTTTGGTGTAATGCACACAGTTGCCCGGCTGCAGACCCGATACTTCTGGTACATAATGAGAGAAGACGTTGCCCTCTGGTGTAGCACC